CGCAGCTTGGAAGCGTTCACTGTCGCCAAGAAGTCTGCAGAATTCGTTAAATTCAGCACCATCTACTTCTCCTTGTCGGTCGCCACCAGTTTAACGACAACCTTCCTAATCACCGTTCGTATTCTCCTGGTTCAACGGATGTCGAAACAAACCGGCACTGGCTCTCACCGTTCTTTCAACCCGATCATGGAGATACTTATCGAGTCGGCGGTGCTGTATTCGGTCACACTTTTGACATTTGTGGTGCTGGACGTGAAGAAAGACACTAGTGTTTTCTATGCCCAGAACGTTCATGCCCAAATGGCGGTAAAATATCTTTCCACACCGTGCAACCTGCCACTCACATTATAACAACCCTAGGGTTTGGCACCTCTGCTTATATTCCTGAGAGTTGCCGCGGGCCATTCGAGGGGGAAAGAAGAATGGAGTACACGAATGTCCGGCAGCTTGAAATTCGCGCCGAGTAGCAGCACGGTTGCAAATTAAACTTGATAATTCATTCGAGGAAGTTTTTGAGGTGGTTTGATGTTGTTAACTCGCTCCGCATCGAGGAGGGAGGCCCGGTAGATTAGGGCGACACATGTGTTGACGCTTTGTACCCAGCTGTCGGTTTTGATGATAGGGCCGTGCGGGATGTTGTCGACGGCGTGATGCAGATGCTGCGTCGCGAGAGCAAATGCCTTTGGGGTGCGTATCATCTCGACGGCGAAGGGCTCCCAGACATGTGCCAGGAGGTGCCAGGGAGGAGAGGATTTTGAATGCCCCCTGTTCTTGGCCAGGCTCGGCCACCCAGAGCAGAAGTTGTCCAGGACCTCGGCACTGCTCTTGCCGGGGCAGAATATCCGCGACGTTGCTGGGCCAGGGCTGGCGCTCGGCTGCAACATCCTTCTTGGCCTTTCAGAATTTACCTTCGGTCATGGTTTGAAGTACATTCGAGAGCTTCATACAGAGAAGGTACAGCGTCGTGTCGAAACATACTGTAGGGCTGATACTTGGCTTTGAACTCATGTGGAGTGCATCCAGTGCCGCGTCCGTCAGATACAAACAAGGACTCGGTCCCGGAGAGCGTTGTATTCTTCTGCCGAGAGGAACTGCATGGTGAGTCCGAGAAACGAGCGGTGGTGTAAATACGTTTCTCGATTCGAAACTGAGATGATGGTTAGTATTGCTGCCACGATACCCCGAATACAGGATGACTTGGACTCCATGGTCGGAGGCTGTACTGCAGAATATCCTGCACTCGACTGTTATGTCGTTTGGTCGACGCAGGAGGCATGGAGATGAGGGTAAAAAAAGGAGTGAGGTGACTGGCGTCATCGCCTGGCCAGTTGATCCGATTGACAATCTTATCTGATTTCCAAATGTGCAAAATTAAGTGCCGAAGGTTTTCAAGCCGTGACCTTCGTCAGAAGAGCATATGTAGTATACTCTCAAACAAAAAGCATCTGAAATTGCTAATTCCAAAAAAAGCACGGATGACAAATTACGTCATCTGATGCGCTGATGCGAAATCTGCGCTTTCTTTCAACTTTGAGGTCAACCTTTTGCAACCTTTGGGCGCAAACTGCGTTCGGCAGCACGCAGCTCAAGCTCTCAAGTGTCCAGCCTGCAGGATACGTTCACCTGCAAAATGGCAAAGTGCCAGCCCCCTCTCCGTCTAAAAGTTTTGCGACACAACAAAACACTTGAACACTGTTGAAAACCAAGGAAGACTTCTTCCGTTCAAAAAATCTACAAATAATACTCAATATCTATACATAATCGACGAATACATACACATTATAATGGGGGTCGTAACGTACTCCTGCCAATCACATCGCGCCAACTAATTACCGCCGCCCTCCAACGCCTTGACGATCGCGAACGCGGCGGCTGCGGCAACGCCACCGACGAGCAACGTGCTGACTGCGCCCCACACATACCCTTTGGGGCCGACGCCCGCACCCGTGACACGCGCCTTGACCGCGCCGAACAGCAGCAACACTAGCCCCGTGATGATTGCGCTCCACATGAGCGCGACGTGTGCGCGCGGGATGAAGAAGTACGGGATGAGGGGGATGATGCCGCCCACCAGGTAGCCCGCGCCGATCGTCACTGCCGAAATGTAGAGCCGGCTCGTCGGGACCTCTTCCAATCCGGCGCCGAACTTGAGCAGAAAGGGCGTGAGTCCGACCTCTTTGCTCCACCGCAGCGACTCGTTTGACTCGAGGTCGTGCGTGGCCACGGGGTGGGAAGAGGGTGTTGATGAGGGAACCTCGACTTCGCGGAGGCAGCGCGCGACGGCGCGGCAGGTGCGTTCGTCGACACCGATAGGGGCCAAGACCTCAGCAACTTCCCGCTCCATCTCGCCATCGCAGCTCCGCACGACGCGCGCGGCGGTGGTAGCACGCAGGAAGCGGTAGTGATCGCGCTCGGCCTGGGATGCGAGGAAGCCACCGATTCCCATCGAAATGGCGCCAGCGATGAGCTCCGCGACTCCTCCGAGAACGACGAGACGAGATTCTCCGAGCGAGGAAAGACCGGCGGTCAGCGCGAATGGCACCGTGAGGCCGTCAGAAAGACCGATGATGCTGTGGAGCTATTAGTAAGGGTGGTTTTTAGCGCGCGCTTTGAGACGCACACATCGCGGACGACATCGGGATCGATGAGCGTTCGGTCGTCGCCCTTGAGTTCTTTGCAGCAGACACCGTTGGGCTGGAAGTGGCGCGAGCACCGGGCCGGGAGTGGGATCGCCTGAGTGGTTGTAGTTGCGTCAATAGCCCATACTGGCGGTTTTGTCGGGTTTTCTGAGGTCTCGGGACGTGGGAGGGGAACAGAAGGCGCGACAGTGGAGCTGGAGGAGGACGACATAGTGGCGGGAAGAAAGAGACGTTTTGCTTTGATCATCTCCCGTTTGGGAAGTCCTATTTAAATTATAGCAGGCTGTCATGATCGAGCCAATCACAGCACGCGCATTTGCTGCCAATGCAATTCGGAGCCAATCAGAACCCGTCCATTCCGCCTACTGCTCATTGGCCGGTGCGACACGCGTCTGTCTCTTTCCCGAAGACAGCTTGCGAAAGAGCGGAGAAAGAATATTTATTTCCCACCGAGATTTCGAATTACATTTTTTTCCGCTACGGCTGCCATCAGCAGTGTTCGAGTGTCTTGTCACTGGGTGAACATTTCAAGTTTTTGAGTGAGAAATTTGGTGAAAACTATTTTGAGTTTTACAGGAATTCTTCACTGAAAAAGTTGATAAAAAATTCAAAACTTTTTCATGACTTTCAGACTTTGTTTCAATTTTTTCACCTGAAAAGTGAACTTTTCAGGTGAAAACCTTTGAGAAAGTTACAACTTTTTCAGCAATTTTTTCAGTGAAAAATTTCCGTAAAACTCAAAATAGTTTTCACCTAATTTCTCACTCAAAAACTTGAAATGTTCACCCAGTGTAGTCTCTCTAAGACAGACGCTCTAGTAACGATTCTTCGCTCGTGCCTCATGTGTTACACCCAGTGTGTGTCGCAAAACTTTTGAGACGGAGTGTCAGGGGAACCCCTACTGTACTATTTCGACCAAGTGTTCATGGGGTGTGACCTGTGACCTCAAGTGTTCAAAATCCAAGTGTTCAAATCTCCTTTTCAGGTGATATTCCGGTGCAGCCGGAGCGAAAAATTCCCTTTTTGAGACGGAAAAGCTCAAAAACCTCGATCCAGGACCGCCAAAACCTGTGACATTTTTAAAAAGTGTTCAATTTGGGCCCGGTTGTGACCAGTGACCGAACACTTGGTCGAAATGGTACAGTATTTCCGGCCCTTCCGCTTCCGCATCCGGACCTTCCGGTCCCGTTCCGACCCGTTCCGGCTCCTCCCGATATCACATGGCCTGTGATTCCGCCCGGGACCTCTGCCGATCACTCCGGTTGCTATCACATGCCCCCCGTCCGTAGTTACTTATATACCGGGATCTGACGCGGGTGATCCTTAGTCTTTCTTCTCTTCGGATCCCCCTCGTCAGGTCTGTCCATTTGTATCTGTAGCTACTCTGTGATATTTATCTTCGGATCCCCTCGTCAGGACTCTTGAGTATACTCGGGCCTTGAGGTTGCCCTTACACGGAGAACAGATCCGCACTTGACCAATTTTCAGGCGAACATATCCTGCAGGCTGGATATTTGAGAGCTTGAGCTGTTGCTACCGAACGCAGTTTGCGCCAAAGGTTGCAAAAGGTCGACGTCGAAGTTGAAAAAAGGGACAACTTCGCATCAGCGCATCAGATGACGTAATCCGCCATCATGGTGTTTTTAAGGCGATTTATTGTATGCATCGAAACGCGGACGAGAAAAGAGGCGGAAACCCTCAGCTTTGGACAGCATACGTCCGGCAGTAATCTAGATCTCCAACGGCTCGAGAATTTCCTGCCGCGGGAATATTAAATAATTAATGCTTTCGTATAAGAAAGCTCAGGTTTTGAGTGTCGAGACCAACTTGCTGCAATTTAACGCAATGGGCACAATTGTCTTTGTCAAAGCTTTTTTCTGAAGTCCAAGTTTTGTGCGTTGGTGACGTACAAGGCCAGGCAGGTCTCCAATTTTGCTCAACGGATCAACCATTCTGATTTTTTTCTTTATGAAAAGTAATTGGTCGTGAAGTGATAGGACAAGGCAGAGGAACAAAAAAGAAATATTCTACACCGTCGGGGTGGTAGCTCGATGAAATCTCAGCTGGTCCGCAGGCTGACCTGCGGAACATGCGTTCTATGTCTTATAGGGGCTATTCCCAAAATAGACCAGTCATCCAATTTCATAATATATCGGCCAAATTGGGAATATTCCCATCATTTTCTTCCCTCGCAGCTGTGTCGTCTTCGGCGGCTGGAGATTATACTATAATGAAGTATGGAGTTGGATCTCACTCAATGTGGCTGATCCAAGGCGCAAAGAAAATGCGGAGACGACTAGAGAGCGAGAGATCTTGCGATAATCGATAATCAAACATCTGAAACATCCAGGAAGCAAAACATGATTCGACCCAGGTTCGAACTGAGGACCGCCTGTGTAGCACAGTCCGTGAAGACGGAAAATGTTAGACAGAAGTGATAAACCAACTACACCATCGAACCGATGGATGAAGATCCTTATGATGCCATCTCACATTCCAGAGTTTACTTCCAATCTCTTTTGCTGTCTCGATGACGGCAGCTTTCTGCTTACTTTGACTCGCTCAAGGCGGCATAAATTAAGAAAGCGTAAGATGCAGGCGGCGAGTCAATGGCAGTCGCGCGCTAGTGAATGACGCGCTCTGACGCAATCGACTTTGCCAACTTTCGCGAATAATTTCACCGCACTCCTTTTCAACTTTCCGATTTGGGTCACTCGATGGCGATCTTGGTGAACTCAGGAGTCAAAGAAAAAAAAAATTGTGCCAGCTCGCGATCGATCCTGAACATGCCGATCTTGGTTAAATCATGAGTCGCGCCTTGGACACGCGTTGTCGCGGTTGCTTCTGCACGGGGTCGCCGCTTGTGCGTCGTATGAGTTTGTAGGCGGGACGGGGTGTGTTGCGGTTGCGAAGGCGTGCGTGCGATGACGTGATAGTGGCGGTGCGGTGGCGATGACGGTCAAAGCGCGATGTAGCGTGCAGAGCGTAAGTATCCGCCGTTACTTTGCAAGGGCGGATAATGACATGGTGGGCAAGCGCGACGTGCGGACGGACTTTCCGGGCTCATTTCACCCTGGCAGAATCGTAGGCAGCGGGCCATGGCGGGATGAGGGCAGCTTTCTGCTTACTTTGCCTCGCTGAAGGCGGGACAAATTAAGAAAGCGTAAGATGCAGGCGGCGAGTCGCGCACTAGTGAATATTAATGACGCTCTGACGCAATCGACTTGGCCAACTTTCGCGAATAATTTCACCGCACTCCTTTTCACTCGATGGCGATCTTGGTGAACTCAGGAGTCGTCCGAATCGACTTGGTGAACTCAGGAGTCATCGATTCGTTAGACAGAAGTGATAAACCAACTACACCATCGAACCGATGGAAAGATTGCCACAGGTGAGGTATTCATCCGGGTGTGAGTCATTCGTCACCATGAATCGCGCGTTCAATTGTACAACCTTGAAGAAGAATGACAGTGCCGAGTGATCAACGTTGAACACCGGGAAATAGCGAACAGACAAATTTATGTCGATGGCTGTAATTATCCGTGGCTACAGAGGGGTTTAGTAATTGATTCTCTGCCCCCAGCCATCATCTGAGGAGGTTTGCTTAAATCCGCTCTGTCCGTTACCCAGTTTCTCCGCTTGCAAACTTTCCGGGTACGTCGCTGCGTCTGAGGTGGACCCACCAGCCACCGGGTGTTGCATCGCCAGCGCAGCACGCAACCGCTCCTCCACCTTCTCGGTCCGCTTCGTGTGGTTCCCACCAATGGCAATAAACACCGCCGACAGGATCCCGCAGAGGAAGCTCGCGGGAATGAGAATACCTGTGCTCCAGGCGGGGCGGTGAAACCTGCCAACGTATTCAGCCATGAGAAAACAAGCCGGAATGAAGGAATGCGCACCGGTCAAGGCCCCACATTGTTCCACACAAGATAATCTGGGCTGTATCAGAGAGTGACTGGACGGGAAGTACCTTCTCCGAAGACAGACCTGGAAGATCGAGTTGCCGTCATTCAAACAACAAATCAATAAAGCGGTACTAGGAAATCAAGGTTCACTTCGTTATTTTTCAAACGTGACGTTCTTACTTGATTGGGAACGCCTATCACTCAGTTGTGAGCAATAATCCCGGCTGAAAGGAAAAGCAGGCCTACGCGATGTGTCTCCGTACCATGCGCCCTGTACCACGTCTGACGCTGCTGAAACTTTACCTGCTCTAAAGAAGTCCAATCAGCCGGTATTTACAGTGGAGAAGCAAGAGGACGAACGCCGGTGAAGATCATTCTGTTCTTTGTCGGTCAGAACGGGGACATAATTGGGGTCGTAAGATGGATCCGGAAGATCGTCTGCATTGAATAGCCCGGGAAGCCCAGCCTCGGCACGGAGCATTTGTGTCCTCCGTTTGTAGTGCCAAATCCAGTATATTCCTGTTCCATGTCAGCTTGGTGCGGAGGAGAAGCGGATGGCTCACGATATGTATCCAGAACACGAAAAGGAATCAGCCCGATCCCAGTCACCGTGAAGAGGCCTATAAAGAAAATAAATAGACGTTCCAAATAGAGGATGGAAAACGAACCATTTTCAATCTGGGAACTGACTTCAACCCAAAACGCCTGGGTGTTTGCGTTATGAAAATCGATGATTTTAAGCAGGAAAATAACGATGGCGGCACCCCAGAAGACTGGAAGACGAATGAGATACAGACAAATTGTGCCAGTCATCCACGAACCAACGCAGAAACAGTAAATCCCGGTAAGAACCTGGATAAGTTGAAGTTAGTACCAGATGTTGGTGATGGCCTGGAAAGCTTACACCAAGGGCTGAAATAAAAGTTTAACATCTTCGGAGGTAGGTGAGGCGCACGAAAGCGCACGCACGGGTCTTAAGAAACGCCCAGACGCCCTTCATCGTGCGTCTAAATTTGGAAGGTTTATTGAGCACGGCTTCGACATGTCGGTCCAAAGAGTGTTCTCCGGGGCATCGCTCTGGGTCGGAAATAGCCATCTTCGGGGGGTAGGATAACGTAACTACGGGTTTCTGGGGATACCACGATAGCGGTGGACTGTACACAGTTGGTTCATGTAAATGAGGCGAATAATTTGGACGAACACGAGGATGCCATTTGCGGCATTGGTAAGAGTAGACACTGTCCCCACCTGGGGGTCTGCATAACTCGTTAGCTGGGTGAGTGCCCGTGTGGAAACCACTGACCAATGACATCGAGGTGCTCAACTATTTCATCATGGTGATCCAAATCCCCTCCACGCTGGCTGGTTCCATGGGGCGAATCGAAAGCATCGCCGATGAGGCCAGGCTGGGTGTCGGCCCGCGCGCGAACAACATTGTCTGTTCGACCACCCAAATGGTGTGAGGGGGGCGTTACCCACCGTCCATTGGATTCTGGGTACGTCGCCCGCAGGACACTTGCAAGAGATGCCGCCCGCTCTTGAGAATCAGCGATATGGCTATGGATTTTGCTGTTTTGTAGTGAACTTTGGAGCAAGGGTTGGGTTGGGAGAGATGGCCTGTCTGCAGCGAACGAGGCCACACAGGACTGGGGCAGGGGCTGGTCCCCGATGGGGGCGTATGTGCTACGAACGCGCACGGAGGGCATTTGGGCAGGCAGGGAACGTAGAAACGACACTCCTCATTGTATAACAGTGATCGCTCAATAACGTAATAGCGTCCGAAAAATTCCCTTCACTTCCGGCGTTCCCTTGGCATTCCCCATAAGGTACATATGTTCAATTGGATTCTCTCAGATTCTCTCCCATGGCGGATATCCGGTCATTTTCCATTTGTCGTAGTCACTGGTAGTTTCACTTCGAAGAACAGAAATGAACTTAATGTTACTTGGAAAATGACTAAAAAGGCAACAATTTCTTCATTTCTTTGCTCTTCCAAGTTACACACATGTACCAGCTACTGCAAGCACTGCAGCATGTGCAACTTCTAAGTGACCTTTGTCCCCCGGGAGACGTGGTGTCCCCCTCAGATTGACCGGCCATAAAATGATGGTGGCGCTTAAGCGACGCTTGATGATGATGATATTTCAGAGGGTTATAAACTATATATGGGCTATAGAGTGGTGCTAAGGTTATCTTCTGTGTATTGATATCTAAACTGTCTTTCGAAGAGTCCGAGTGTAAAGTATGAATCCCAACGGTCCGAGAGTGTAAATATTGTTTGTGTGGTTCGGCGTGGGTATCGCGATTCGTAGGCGAGAAATATGGTGCGCACGGGGATGTGGAGTAGTGTAAGGGGGAGTTTGGTTATATGAATTGTAAGGTAATACGAGAGAAACCAGGAAAAAAGAGGGTGAGTGTTTGGAGCTGTTTGGAACTTGTTCAGCATCAGCGCATCAGATGACATAATCCATCAGATCCGCGGCGACTTTTGCGGCGATTCAAGGCGATTTATCATCGACTTGAGCGAAACACCCTTGAGATTGCACAATGCACGCCAGGCAGAGTAATCAGAATCAAACACAGGTTGAGGATTTCCCGGTGGGGCGGGAATAAATTCGTATAAGAGGCGGCGCCTTTTTAAGTTTGGGATGGTCTCATATTGATCTTCCTCGACAGTTGCGCTTTGTCTCCACTCTGAAATGGGCACGATTATCTCTGTCATGGGCCAAAGCTTTCCCTCGAAGTCCAAGCTCTCTGTCACAGACATAATACCCGACCTCACAAAACAGGTACATTTTCCATCTAATTCCATCTATTCATTTTTTATTCTACTTGTTCGACCATATGTTCTGATTTCCTTCATGAACACTTTTCGTTGGTTGCAATTGTGACGGGCGGGAATTCAGGTCGGTGCTCTCTCTTGCCCTGATACTTCTGTGATGGCTCACGATCTTGCCTCTAGGTGTTGGCAAGGAAACTGCCAAGGCAAGTCGCGGCAGCCTATGCACGATCAAAGCCATTGACTTATGTACTTCCGGTAGGCCCTCCTTGCGCATAACGCCAAGGTGTACATTGCAGCGCGGAGCCCGGACAAGGCTAGGAAAGCTATCGAGAATTTGCGGTCGCAGACGGGGAGACAAGCGAGATTCTTCTGCTTGGATCTTGCGGACTTGAAGTCTATTAAACGCGCCACGGAAGAATTCAACCAGTAAGGCCTAGACTTGTTGGCCGTCTGCCTGAAACTCATCTTATGTCTATAGGAAAGAAACAGAGCTGCATGTCTTGTTTGATAGCGGTGTAAGCGTGTTCTTTTGGGTCTCGTGGTTTGAAGATGAAGTTGAGCTACTAATACTATACTGTAGGGTGTCATGGTGAGAGTGGCCGCGTATTCAACAGTAAGTATTGTCAACTAGCGTTCCTTCGTCTCGACTCATCATCAATATAGGTCACGCTATTTCACGGTTTTGCAGTTCCCTCCAGTTGAGCAGCTTACCGCCCAAGATTACGACCTGCAATTTGGCACGAACGTCATAGGTGCCGGCCGCTTTCAATCAAT